TTAAAAAACAAACATTTAGATACTCTTCCCAATGTTGGCAATGTGTTAATAAGCAGAAAAGGAAGGCCAAAGGAGATTAAAGTGTCGCATTTCCCCTAATGGATTATGCTAACCAAATATTCTTAAATCCATCTTTTACCCACTGATGTCATGACATAAGCCAGAAAATCTGATTTGCTTGCTTTCAACCAGATACCTTCATTTGGTGCCATGCTCCTTGAAATTACCACAGGTGGGACTTAGAAATAATGTAGCTGGGACATGGAGTAAATCAACAATGTTTTACTTGAGCATCAACATTTACCATAATTAATGAATACAATAACATAATTGCTACTTACTAAAAAGTGAAGTTTTAAAAATTTCTATCACAATGGAATCCAGGTTCTTGGACAGAATAATTGGTAGATCTTACATTATGAAAGGATAAGAACCACAGCATTCAACAACCCAGAATAGTTTGTACTAAACCACAATGAATGGATTCACACATCTGTTGGGCCATCCAATGGTTTATAATGGAAAGGTTTATACAAAATTCTTTCCTGGTGAAAGAGAAGGGTTGGTTCATCTTGGCTGGGTTTGCACACCACACTGAGTCACAATCCAATCACATTTCAGTCTAGCATGTTGTATAAACCCAGCCCTTGTGGTTAGTTTATGGTTCAGCTAAAAAATTGGATTGGGTAAATCACGGTTCATTTACCCAGGGGCAGGTGTGATATGCAAATACAGCCATTTTCTAGAAGACTTTCATTAAGGTGTCCAAATGGCCTGTCACACAAATCAACAAATGCTACTTCTCAGGAGGACTGTAAGGCATAAACCAAGCCATGCCCCACACATAAGGGGGTAAACAGCATGAAACACAAAAAGCATCACTTCAAAAAAATAACGAACATTTTCAAGCATAGGCAAACTGAAGCTTGTTCCCACATGGTCAATGGATTCAACCCCCAGTGGTAAGCAGCATTTTCATCCCCCTACGTGGCTATTTAGCCACATAGTTCAAGTGTCATGTACATTCATGATGTATGGAATAAAGACCTAGAATATCCAATAAAGGAACATCAGTGGTTGCAAGTTTTAAAGAATGTTAGAGTGCCTTCTTCAGATTTAACCTTGAAATTGATTCCATTTTGAGTTCATGAGATGCCCCCCAAAATGCTGTATATTGGATATCAGAGTTTACATTTGTTGGTGATGTAAAGAAATTGAGGGTTTGTTAACTCATATGATTTGGTCTTGTGAGTTACTGGCATCTTTCTTGGAACAATGTTTTTATATATACAAGGAAATTTAAGGGGAAATCTCTTAATGTGAAAATGTGGAACTTCACTGTAACATTGATTATACCATACATGGGGAATTACTAAGAGAATTATTTCGAGAAATTGATTAGAAAAGCACTATTATTCCAGATGTTAAGGACTAGATTCCAGACATGTATAATTTATCCATTTTTGAAAAGGCAATTTTTCCACCAATCAAAAAATGATGCAATATGTTTCCCTTTGGCACTGATTTTATAATAGTTTACAAGAACAGAGGGTTTTTTTTCCTAATTTAAAATGTTAATATATTGTTTAATACTTGATATTGACCTGCCTAGATGGTTCCTAACTTTTTTCAATTTTTCAGTTTTTTTGTTTTGTTTGTTATTGTTCATTATTAATTACATTCTTCTATTTTTTTAAAAAAAATGTTTATAGTTTGTTCTCTCTTTTTTTGTAGTTAATCACCTTTTTTGTATTTTGGGGTATTT